GCTAGGTAGAAACATTTACCAGCACGCCTTTGAAACAACCCACAAGTCCACTCTAGAAGCCAACCTGGATGGCTACGGAGGAACTGACCAAGGCTCGCTTCACCGAAGAGATCACTCTTCTGGGCCCTGCTTGGCACCTTTCGGTAGGAATTCAGAAAAGCATGGAAAGAAAGTAAAAGCAAATAAAGGGCTCCATTACAAATAATGAAGGCAGAGAGATTTGACAGGGATTGTCGAGAGGGGATAAGGCAGACTTAGATGCTGGTGACCTACTTTTAGTATTGTCTCCTAAATCTCCAGGGAAGTGTTTAGCTGTGATTATAAATATTAATTAGATTCCAATCAGAGTACTATTTAAAGGATCTGTGCTCCTGAGGGAGAGACATTTTAGATAGGCAGATAGATAGACAGATAGGTAGATAGGGCAATATACACGGCATAAGACGTGTAAGCTGCTCAGGGTGCTAATAAACTAGATGATTCTACTTAGTAAAACAGACCCAACCCAGATACAAAATTATAGGTGAATTAAATGGCCATAAACAGGCAGGGTAAAGTCTTCATAGCTTTACCAGATATCTAATTCCACTGTGTGTGGATAGGCTCAACATTCTTTAGTTTCGCGATGACATCTTCCTTGTTAAGCAGTTCATCGGCCGAACAAAAACATTTATAGGAACAGCAGCTCTCCACATTTAACGCAGAAATTCAAAGAATCTGTTACCCATGAAATAGCTACTTCCTAAAATTCTTAAGCGTAATTTGAGGCTGTTAGCTGGAGCTATTATCCTGCACTGTGGGAAGTGGAGTCTCAGGTTAGAGACTGTGCCCCAGCGCTTGAACTCTCTGCCAGCAAGAGTTGGGAAAGCTGCAAACTTTCAATCAGTGCCAGAGAGAAGGTGAGAGGCCTTTTTTTTTTTTTTTCTTTTAACCACAATGCCAGCAGCAGATTAAGGAGTGGCATTACTCACGCCACGCAAGGGCTGGCTGAGTCTACTTGGGCTGAAAGTAGTGCGTCCCCTACCAGGAAGCCTTCTCAGTGTGCATCACATCACTCTGCTTCTGTGACTGAGGCATTCTTTGAGAACCTGTCATCTGGGTCCAACAGTGTTCCTATTTAATTAGCCACTAAGTTTCCTTTTGTTTTGGTTGGCTTTGTTTTGTTCTGTTTGCAATGACAAACAAGAGGCTCCCTTTCCTTTTCAATGAGCACAATCCAACTAGGAAGGAAAGTCTCTTCTTCTCCTCCATAGTTTAATCCTCATTCTCAGATTTCCTAGGCATTCTAAATAGAAAAAGAGAAAAAGAAAAGGGCCAATCCAGGTCACATTTACGGCAGTCAGAAAAAGAAGCATGAAAATCTAAAAAGTTAGATCACAAATAGGATGAGAACTATTTTTATAATTTTACTTTTCAGTAGATCAGGCTCAGGGAACCAGGCGCTGGTTGGAGATGGACAGGAAAGAGCAGAGAGGGTATGCTGTTATGAGTGACAGCTGGGGAAATAGGAAAAGGTTATCCAGAGAGGTTCCCCCCCCCCCATTTCTCTCTGTTCTTCCTCTTATTCGTGATGACCTCACTCCCAGCCCAGATTCCCATCTTAGACCCACCACTGCCAGTTCTCAACAGCTGATTCCCCAGATCAAGATGTGCAATGAATCCACGGGGCTAACATACAAGGTTAGCAAGTGGTTCAATGTCTCATGCTTTTTTTTTTTTTTTTTAATGATAGGAGAATCTTGCAAACAAAAAACATTCTCAAGACCCAAAGGTTTTGTTTGTATGTTTTGTTTTGTTTTGTTTTGAAAGACCTTTTTTTTTTTTTGAACTTTTTGGGTAAGGAATGTCCTCATACCAGACCACATAAAAGTTAACACAACCTGTAAGAAGCCTAGTAAGGGTCCTGGGATTCTAATATGTTTTGAAAATTAGCATTTTGGCATTCAGAATGTGTCGATTTTATTTTATTTTTTTACTTTTTAAAGTATTTATTTGTTTTGGGGAGGGAGTGCACGTACTCGCTTGGGGGATGAGGGGGTGGGGGGGCAGAGGGAGAGGGAGACAGAGAATCCCAAGCAGGTTCCTCGCTGTCAGTGCAGAGCCTGGGGGCACAGGGCTCAAACTCACAAAGGGTGAATTCATGACCGGAGTGGAAATCAAGAGTCTGAAGCTTAACAGACTGAGCCACCTAGGCGCCCCCAGAATGTCTCTATTTTAAACTAAAATGTTATAAACCATTAAACTGAGAAAGCTGGAAAGGCTCAACATAACTAAGCTTTTCTTAAAATTTTTACCTTTGTTGTATATTCCACTAGCACAAAGTATCACTTTACATACAGGTTTTTTTCTTAACGAGGCCAGATTTATTTTGTAAACAAGAACCAAAAAGGAGGGTGACTATAGAGAGACATTTCACGTTTTGTAAACTATAGGAAACATTTATGTTTCATAAATTACAAGAAAAGTATAGCATGCCTTTGTGAGTTATCAGACTCTTGGCCTTCTTTGCCTTGGAGGGTTTTCATCTAGCTGTAAACTGGACCTACCGTCTTTCATATTTTATCAGACCTTACCAAACTTTCAATTCTAGTTTCCTCCAGTATCTGACAGTAACGTTCCAAATTAGTGTTTTCATTTCTTCTCCCACCCTCTGGTGGTACAGCTACTGAGAACAAAAAGCTGACTACCCAGATCCTTAAGGGCATGCTAGGTTATCTTCTATCTAAAGAAGTCATACAAGCTGAAGCCGGACACATACAGGGCTTATTTTTACTTTCAGAGAAGGTTTCTCTGCAGACATTCAAAATGAAAACATACATACATACATACATACATACACACAAGTTTTCTATTTCTGAGTTATCAACCTCAGTATCAAATACCAGTTTTACTGTCCGTAACTCACAGCAAAGGAGGTGTTGTTTTTTGTACAGTTACACTGATGATTTGACAATACACTTTTTTATTGACCAAGTACAAGCTAAACTATTGCGTTTGTAAAGCTATTCCTCTGGGCCCACCCTGTGCTGAACTTTGTGAGGGTTTGAAAACAACAACAACAACAGCAACAACAAGGCACAAACTGCTCTTGAGGGAAGTGCAAACCTTCCTGGATTGTATGTCCATCCCAGTGCGGTTCTTATCTGATGAGTTTGTGGTTTTCCAAATTCAGGGCAAAGCACGTTGCTTTATCAGTGAGTTGAGATTTAGCATTGTTCTCCTTTGATTCCGTGAATGGTTGTTCCAACTTTAAAAGGGGCCACTAAATTTACAACTGTTTTCTTCATTCATTTTTAAGAGTGAGAACTAACACACCAATTTCTGGCATGCTGATAAGAGAACTTTAGCAATTTTCTCCGTGGCGTGAAATATTTCATTCTGAAGGCCTGTGTTGTCTATCCTTATCACTCCTAGATGAGGCTCTACAAAAGAACAAACTCTGAGATGGGATCTGCCTTCGTGCCAAGTATAAAACCTGAGCGATGTTTGGGAATGGAGCCCACGAAGGACCAAGAACACAAGTAATTATTTGCCCCCCCAAATAGAGGAGCCCATATTTTCAAATATTCCAAAGGAACCCCCAAATCAGCCTACTGAATTGGAAAGAGTATCCTCTAATTGAAGATCATTCACACAAACTCGATATTGAGTCCAACCTATAATCCACGTGGCCCATGGCAATTTACTGGGTAGTATCTTATAAATAGATTATACGCTTTGGGTATCTTCTGAGTCGTTGAAAAATATAGCTAAATTATCAAACACAACGTTTCACTAGCTCTGTTCAGTACTTTTTTTCTCCCCGATTAAAAGTGTCTCAGCAACTTCAGCCTTTTAAAATCCACCCCTACCTCCGCACTCATCTAAATTATTCTGGCTACGTAAGTCTTCACTTCCGGCAGTGAAATACTGTAACATTTGGTAAGGTAATTCACTTTGGCCGGGCATTCTCACTGAACTTATGGTGAAACAGTTTCACTTTTTACTAGCGTACAAGTAGAAAAGGCTTCTTTCTAAAGGTAGACTTTTGCTGTATGGGAAGATCGGGGGCGGGGAAGGACGGTGCATTTCAACTCATTCTTCTCCCTCCGACCTCTGTTAACTGTTTTAAAGGTTCTGGCTACCAGGCGACCTAACACCCCTATGAGGTACTTCGACCTAAAGCAGTTCGCTGAAACTCCTACTAACAGCAGGGCTGGGAACATTTCTATTGCTCTTCTTGCCTGGGATATACGGTACAAGGGTTGGCCGTGGTTTGGTCCACCTGCCAGCGGAGTTTAAAGTTTCCAAAGGCTCAGAAGAACACAATGACTGGGACCAAACTGCCTAAATGAGAAGAAGGGAATTTCTGCTGCAAGGAGAAAGCCGTTAAACTCCCGCTAAACTAACCACCTCTTTCACGCGGCCATGCACACGACCGACCTCCTCTTTCACTGACCAGGGATTATTTCTGCCAATCCAGGATATTCCGAAAGCTCGGAGACATATGGCTGGAAAACGAAACGACCCCGGAGTGTGGCCACATCTTACTTTGTGTCGCGTGGTACCAGATGGGCAATCAGTGAATGAGGCAGAGATGTGAACGGACAGTTTTATCATGTGAATTTTCCCCCCATAACGCCAAAAACCAGACTTCGTTTTCCCTCTCACTTCTTTGGGTTTATAATACTCGGATTTTCTCCTCTCTGCAATATCAATTGACTCAACTTTGCAGTGGGGTGGCCAAAAGGGAAGAGGATGAAGCGATCTCTAAAATCTTAGTAAGTGTCGGGGGAGCCACAGCACCCGGGAAACTGCGGCTGCGACCCGCCTCGTCCTGTGCGGATTTCAGGGTTGGTAACAGCGCAAGCGGTTATGGAGCGGACGGTGCACTCCATCCGCCGCCGAGGATAGAGACCCGGGCGCCGGGAGGGGTCGGTTCATTTCGCCGCAGCCTCGGAAGCCGCGGCCGCCTCTCCTCCGCTGCGTTTCATTACCATTATCCTCGTTCTTGAAAAGTCATGGAAGACGGCCCGCTGCCAGACCTCAGAGACATCGAGCTGAAGCTAGGGCGCAAAGTACCCGAGAGCCTAGTGCGCTCGCTCCGTGGGGAGGAGCCGGTTCCCCTGGAAAGGGACAGGGACCCCTGCGGGGGGAGCGGCGGCGGCGGCGGCTGCAGTAGCAGCAGCAGCAGCAGCTGCAGCCTCCCCCCCTCCCTGTCGTCGTCCTCCTCGTCCTCTCCAACCTCTGGCTCCCCACGTCGTAGCCACTGCAGCGCCCTGGAGAGGCTGGAAACCAAGCTGCACTTCCTCAGGCGAGAGATGGTGAGTGCGGCGCGCCAGCTGTGGGAATGAGGGCCCCGCCGGAAGGTGGGGCGATCGGAGGAGGGGGGGCGCGGGGAGAGGGCGGCGGACGCCGCAGAGCTGAGTGCAGGGCGCCTGGGCAATCCGGGGGGCAGAGGAGCGCGCGGGGGGCGCGCGTCTGGAGGCTTGTTTACCCCGGACTTTGCTCGGCCAGGGTTTGCTAAGACGGCAGAGCCTGCTTTGCTCTGTGTACTCTGTGATAGCGCCGACTCCGTGCTGCAGCCCCTGACCGCGTAGCTGCCGGTCCGCGGCCTCCCGGGCACCCTGCCCGCCGAGGGTTTGCAGTTACTAAGCCAGTCTGGGGGCTGCTGCGTGCCGTTCAGACTGTCGGTTCGAAAGGTGGCTCCATCCTTTGCACCCACAGCAAAAAGGACTTCCTGGTTTGCCGAGAGGCGGCGAGGCAGGGTCTCCGCCGGCGCTCCTTCCTGGCTCACTCTTGCACCCACTACCGCCCCCGCCCAGTGGTGCGGTAGCCGCAGCTGTTCCAAGGCCACCGTTCAGCTGATTCTCCACAGCTGGCTCTGAAAACAATGGCCCTCTCGTCCTTGGTGTCCTTAGGAATAGCTTGTTTCACTGTTTTGATCCTAGGGAGCAGGTGATCCCCAGGCCCAGGGATTTGCTAACGACCACTTCCTACCCTCTCCCCCTCCCCCCACCCCCCACCCCCAGTCCTCAATCTGCAATTGTTTTCTGTGATGCTTGCAAACATTACCTTAAGAGTAAGACAATGAGACTAGTACAGGGTCTGAAAATACTTGTCATTCTGGATGTTCTTAAATGGACAAACTTTAGTGGCCCTGAGCTCTGGGGCCAGACACTTGGCCTCTGTGAACCTCAGTTTATTTATCCAGTGAACTGGTTGGAGGAAATAATTCCTTCCTAAATCGTTTGAAGAAAGTGACAAAGCAACAGCATTTTCTACCAGCTTGGAGCGGAGGGAAGTTGCCACAGTGGTCGCAGTCAACCAGGAGGATGGCAAGGATTTTCCACCTAAAGGATCCTGTCTCCTAGGGCTTTGCATTAAAAAGTAACCAGAGGTGCTTCCCCTGGTTCCTCTCTTTCTGCATTTGGAACACTCAAGAGGTAATAAATTCCACAGCATAAAGTAATCTTGGCAAATATATAAGGGTAAAAAGCCAGTCTTCAGAGATCATGTCCTGTGTTCAGAATTTTCACACCGTGTTCTCTACATAAAGGTCCTAGGATATATACTCTAAAAACCTATATCTTAAGATCTTTAAAGTGGGTAAATGGGTAAGATCTTTACTGTGGGTAAATGGGTGCTGAAAATGCAAGAGCTTGTCTACTTAGGGCTCTCAAATCTCTTGCACTCATTTGCCATTTATTATTTGTAGTAAATTAAGCCAACTGTGTTGAAGAACTCCAGGGGGGGTGGGGATCTGGTTATTTTCAACCAAGGACACTTTCTAGACTTATCTGTTGTTCTTAATGAAAATACCATAAGTGCAGTAAAACTGTGTTTTCCCCAAACCAGAACTTGCTGTGTATGATCAGGGTGTATTAATAAATACATTTTTATTTATTTTTTTTTTTAATTTTTTTTTTCAACGTTTATTTATTTTTGGGACAGAGAGAGACAGAGCATGAACGGGGGAGGGGCAGAGAGAGAGGGAGACACAGAATCAGAAACAGGCTCCAGGCTCTGAGCCATCAGCCCAGAGCCTGACGCGGGGCTCGAACTCACGGACCGCGAGATCGTGACCTGGCTGAAGTCGGACGCTCAACCGACTGCGCCACCCAGGCGCCCCAATAAATACATTTTTAAAAAGCAAACAGAAACCACAATGCTCTCAGCAGCAGATTGCTACATTGAGTATTTGTTATATTTTCTATGTTTAACATCAGGATCCACAGAATTTACCCCAGACAGATGTTTTGTATTCAAATTTGTGCTCCACAAAGAAAATAACATTAGCCTTGGGAGTTTAGAGAAAAGATTGGGACAGGTATATTCCCCTGCCAGTGAGACCCTTTTCCCCCATTTTACATAACTCTTTTGGGTGGTAAAAACCCCAGCTTCAGCATATCTGGGAAGCAACAGATTTGTTTTTTGTGTCAACTTGGCAGGTTTGTTATAAACACTGAGCAGGTGTTCTGCTGTTCTGCCTGTCTCCTCCCCACATCCCCATGTGGAGAAGTTAGGGACAGAGTGGAATATGACTTCTTAATTGTGATTTCTTATGTGCTTTTCTGCCCTATACTATGTGCACTGAGTTAACCTCCTTGGTATTAAGCGTGACCCCACATTTCATGTTTATTACTTTTAGTTCACACATTGTTCTTCTGGATTGTCTGGAATTACCAGGCGTTGGGCCTGCCCTTGGAACTCTCTCCCTAAGAAACACCTGAGCCATGCCCAAACCTTTCTAGAGACTTCCAGGAGTTAAGCCTCCCTTCTTTTCCTGTTGGATGGATGTGTGTACCATTGACACAATATAGCGTAGACTTGAAGGGGGGGAGTCTGAACACAAAGTTCTTTACATACACATGGTTTTATGTAGCTTCTCTCACCTCCTTCTATGCTTCCATGGATCATTTCCTTCTCTCTTATTTGAGACAGATTTTCCCAGTATGTGAAGTATTTTTATTTTGAATTTAGAGATCAGGAAATTTAACAATACAATAAACAAACACAGAGATGTACCTCGGAAATTGATAACGAGATTGGAAAGAGATGTCAGGCCTCTTGTACAAAGTCTGCCCAGTATGTGTTCACTACTTTTCTGTTCAGAGCGTTTTATTTATTTATTTTTTAATGTTTACGTATTTGTTTTCAGAGAAAGAAAAAGTGTTTTTCCAATATATGTAAATAATCTCTGTCAAAACCCATGTTGCCACATTCTGGTTCCAGTCAGTTCTGGGTTATGTCAAGATGACTGCTAATCTTCCCATGATACAATGCCATCATGAAAACTGCTATGGAAATACTGTGTTCTAATTCCGATATTTTTGGGGTTTGTTTGCATAACAGCTGTGTAATGCAGCAAAGAGAATAAACAATCTCCAGCTAGTTACTTATCCTTTCTTGTTATTAAAACCTTCAAGCACCCCACCAAGTTCCTCAAATCTTGCTTTAATAAAGTTTCGAGGCAATACCCAGGACTAGACACAAACACACATATACTCAGACAAATGCGTACATGATTATTAGCAGAACATAAATCAAAATGTCAAAGATTTTAAGAGTGGTAGACTTATATTTGGTTTTTGATCTTTTCTAATCCCCCCCCCACCCGCCGTTCAATGGCTTGCTGACTTTGTAATAAACGGTTATCTTATATTCTCTAGAAAAAAAAAATTCACTTCGCAGTTGTGAATTAAATTAAATTAAATTTAAGAAATTAAATTAAATTTAAGAAAAATTAAATTCGCAGTTGCTTTGGATATGCTTCAGAGTAGGCTAGGAGATTTCTTGTTCCATACATGTTGATCTATAGATCACTTGTTCTATAATTTAGTCATCTTTCATAACTTCACAGTTTCAACAATATTTTTCCTATTTTATCACTTAGCTATTTTTTAAAGTTAGGCAAACGTTTAAGCAAAAACCCTTATGTATGTAATTGAGAATCTGTACAGTGGAAGGCTCCTTCCTGGATGAGGTCACAAGTTAGTGGAAAAGATAAAATGGGAGTATCATTTGGCCAGAGAAAGATCGAGAACTACCATGTCAGCAGGTGCCCGATGCCATAGCAGAGATCAGGCTATCAGGTAAAGTGAGGAGATCTCTGACTGCGCCCCGGGCAAGGAATTGAAATTGCTGATAATGCTGCGAAGTAAGGGGCTTAATATTAGGGACAAAGACATCAAGGAGATGAGGAAGTCTGATTCCTAACAGTGACTTCTTCTGCGATTATGCACATGGAGTGTCATTATACTTACCTAAACCTGACAAACAAATCTTGTTGAAACATGTTTCTTTACACAGTGGCTCGAAAATTCACAGAAGTGAACACACAGGTGCTCGTGTCATTCTGCTAGAAACACATAGACACAATTTAGAGAATTTATACCTACCCTGAAAACAGTGACATTTCCAAAACCTGATGGAGCCCCGCCCTGTACCTAGGAATGTATGTTGCATTACTGGCACATACTTGAAGAACACTTTCTGACCAAAGAGAATTCCTTTCCATTGCATTCAAGTTGCACAACCATACTGCCCCGATACTGTGAGAGACCGCAGATATTGTGAGATTTTTTTTTTTAAGACATATTATGTTCATTGCCATGACAGCACAAAACCCATATAGTTAGCTTTCCATTTTGTAGTTAATAAGTCACAATTAAAAGAATTTGTCACTTTTTTTTTAATGTTTACTTATTTTTGAGAGACAGAGTCTGAGTGGGGGGAGGGGCAGAGAGAGAGAGAGAGAGAGAGAGAGAGAGAGAGAGGGAGACACAGAACCTGAAGCAGGCTCCAGGCTCTGAGCTGTCAGCACAGAGGCAGATGCAGGGCTTGATCTCATGAAACATTAGATCGTGACCTGAGTCGAACTCAGATGCTTAACCGGCTGAGCCACCCAGGCGCCTGATTTCTGGTTTTTAAATACTGCTTCTGAAATGGGGATTTATGGCTGGAGTCTCTGGAGTCCCTGAGTACTTGTTACATTCTTGTGGTGTTTTTTGTTTTTTTTTTTTTTTTTTTTTTTTTCTTTGAAGGATGTTCTTTTTATTTTTCTTTAAAGGTTATTCTTCACTACTCAAGTGGTAGGCTTCTGGTGTGGTGGAATCTTCATGGGTTTGGACCTAGACAAGCTGGGATTCTGGCCAAGTCTAGAGCAAGTCGAGATACAAACCAGGAGAGCCCAGCCGGCTGCCAAGGCCCTGTACCCTCTCCCTCTGGAGACTCTTAGCCCATCTTCCCAGACGGAAGGCCTGTCTAGCCCTCAGTGGCTCTCTTTCTGGTTTTGGCTTTGTGCGTGGCATTGAGAAAGTTA